GCTCTACATGGTCATTCCAAAAGCTAATAGTCGAGTCCTTTGCCTCACGAATCCAGTTGTCAATGTCAGAGCTTCCCATCAATCTACTATGCTTCAAGACCCAAATTGAACAAACCAAGAATCCAACAATCCCGCATGTATAACGCATCCAGTACAGGGTTACTTTCCTTGGTTTCTGGTATTTTGTAACCAAAGAACCCAGCTGCAACAAGTACTGTTATCCCTGCAAGTGTGTGAATTTTCTCAATTGAATATCTATGATCTTGACTGTGAAGAAATGGTAATAAGGATGAGATTTTAAGTAACAGCTGAGTTTTACCCAGATGCTGATTCCCGTTGTAATGGTAGACACAATCATCTTCACGAAGTTGGATATCTCGAATTGCCTGGTTTCCCGTCTGCAACCAAAAGAGAGCAGCTACTTCCGACATAAACCACATCAAAATCATCTGAGAACTTTGCATCTTCACTCAGACAGTCAACATGACCTCCTCCTCGGCTCCACTTTCCTCCTACAATAGTGACAACCCCTACATAGAGAGAAGACTGACTTCAAATTGAAGTCTCTACCTTCAAGCCTCTGACCCTATTAAACCATCTTGGTTTGCTTAAAGAGAGTAGTAGGGGTTGCAGAGAATAAAGTCAAATACATACTGAATAGGATGAGAACTTTTGTTGCAAGTGTGCCTTGAATTCAACCCAAAATATGTTTATCACCCGTTGGTGACCTGCACAATCCGATTAATGGGCAAGTGGCAAGGTTTCCTTGATAGATCTGACCAGATACTTTTGACTTAATGGGTCCTACCCAACATTTATATTTGGATCTATTTTGTCTAGGTTTGCTGTTTTTAGGATCTTTATATTTGAGGGATTATTTCATGGTTCTAGGGTTTTTGGATCTTGAGAGGTTCTGTAACATGGGGTTGTTGAAAAAAGGCCGACTAATTGTAATATCCACATTATAGTGAATTTTTCTCAATTTCTCCTTTGCCATAACAGTTCTATTACTAAGGTTGGGCTGTTTTTAAGCAAAACTCTACTTTACCTGTATCACTGATCTTCCTGATGGCCGTATTTATTTAGAGTGTAAGCAATGTAGATATTTCCTCTGTGATCTACAGTAATCCCTTTTGGGTGATTCATCCTAGCTTCTCTTGGCTTTCCATCCACAAGCCCCGAATACCCATCAGGTGATCCAGCAATCAGCTTGGGCCGGCTATCTGCACACAGCGATAGAGGTTCGAAGTTCTTTGTGGGCTTGCCAAATCTGAGATTAAAAAAACACAAAAATTATATATAAAAGAAGACACGGACAGTGACAGGTTCAAATAAATTCTTTTCTTTGTGAATGACTACAATTGACTGTTTGGAAATAATTTTGGTAAAGATATCAACACCACAACTTAAAAGAAAATGGATTTAATCTGCAACAATAAATCTACATTGCAAGCCTTTAGCAAAATAAACTTATGATGTGACAAAAGGGTTGAGATTTTGCAAATGTTAATACTTTGACAGTACAGACCCAGAATCTTCTTAGACACGGGTTACTTAAAAAATCAAGAGTATGGAACTATGGATATATTCAATGAATGTTTTTTATATAATTTTCAATTTTATCATCTGATCAAAAATGAATATAAAGAAGAAATTTGGTCAGTCATTGGAGAAACTTGGCCTCAGACGTAAAGTGCAAGTTCACAAATTTCAAAAAATATAGAATTGATTCTACAAAACAGAGTGAAAAGGTCTAGTGTACTTTACAAAGTGAATTCTTCATGCTGATTCCCGTTGTAATGGTAGACACAATCATCTTCACGAAGTTGGATATCTCGAATTGCCTGGTTTCCCGTCTGCAACCAAAAGAGAGCAGCTACTTCCGACATAAACCACATCAAAATCATTTGAGAACTTTGCATCCTCACTCGGACCGTCAACATGACCCCCTCCTCGGCTCCACTTTCCGCCTGCAATAGTGACAACCCCTGCATAGAGAGAAGACTGACTTCAAATTGAAGTCTCTACCTTCAAGCCTCTGACCCTATTAAACCATCTTGGTTTGCTTAAAGAGAGTAGTAGGGGTTGCAGAGAATAAATTCAAATACATACTGAATAGGATGAGAACTTTTATTGCAAGTGTGTCACAAATTCAACCCAGAATATGTTTATCACCTGTTGGTGACTTGCACGATCCGATTAATAGGCAAGTGGCAAGGTTTCCTTGATAGATCTGACCAAATACTTTTGACTTAATGGGTCCTACCCAACATTTGTATTTGGATCTATTTTGTCCAGGTTTACTGTTTTTAGGATCTTTGTATTTGAGGGATTATTTCATGGTTCTAGGGTTTTTGGATCTTGAGAGGTTCTGTAACATGGGGTTGTTGAAAAAAGGCCGACTAATTGTAATATCCACATTATAGTGAATTTTTCTCAATTTCTCCTTTGCCATAACAGTTCTATTACTAAGGTTGGGCTGTTTTTAAGCAAAACTCTACTTTACCTGTATCACTGATCTTCCTGATGGCCGTATTTATTTAGAGTGTAAGCAATGTAGATATTTCCTCTGTGATCTACAGTAATCCGTTTTGGGTGATTCATCCTAGCTTCTCTTGGCTTCCCATCCAGAAGCCCCAAACACCCATCAGGTGATCCAGCAATCAGCATGGGCCGGCTATCTGCACACAGCGATAGAGGTTCGAAGTTCTTTGTGGGCTTGCCAAATCTGAGATTAAAAAAACACAATAATTATATGTAAAAGAAGACACGGACAGTGACAGGTTATGATAACAATTTTTGAATATTTACAGAACCAAAAAAAAAAAAAAAACAATAGCAACAATAATAATCTTGTTAGATCTGAGATGAACAACAATGCACAACAATAATAATCTAACAATGATCCTCTGTTTCTTCTTCGTCAACAACAACAACAACAATGAGATATATATATATTTATATTCTGAATCAAAAAAAAATATGAATAAAATATATATATATATATATATAGAGAGAGAGAGAGAGAGTGATTCAATATATATATATATATCTGAATAAAAAAAAATCTGAGATCTAAGGGCTGATTTACAATCTGTTGGCGATCACGATCAAAGGACTGATTCACGATCTGTTTCCGAGAGTGATTCACGATCTGAGATCTGTTGGCTGATTCACGATCTGATTCCGAGAGTGATTCACAATCTGTGGCTGATTCTGAGCGTGAGACCGAGAGGGACAGAAGAACCATTCTCTGATTCACGATCAGTTGGCTGATTCCGAGAGTGATTCTGAGCGTGAGACCGAGAGGGACAGAAGAGAAGAGAGAAGAGAGTGGTTCTTCCATTGACGATTGGTGGTGGTCGGTGACAAGGCAGCAACAGAAGTGAGGAGAAGAGAGAGAGAGGGGGGCTTAGGGTGTGAGACGAAGACGAAGACGAAGATGAAAACTAGATTAGGGTGTGTGTGTGTGTGTGAGAGAGAGAGAGACAGAGTAGTGTGGAGGAGAATGGATTTTGTGAAATCAGTGAATAGAGAAATGAGGGTAAATGAGTGAATAGGAAAGTATATATATACGGGGATAAGTTCGGGGATAAACCGAGCCGAGGAACGGGGACGGGGCCGGCCGGGTACGGGGCTGGAACACTTATCCCTGTCCCCGGCCCGAATCTGTTCGGGGATTAATTTTTAAATACTATTCCCGTCCCCGTAGGGGTATTTTTCGGAGAAAACCCGCTTAGTTCGGGGTCGGGGGATCGGGTCCCCATCAAGCCGGTTTCAAATTGTCATCCCTATGGAAAAACCACAAATAACTTTTCAGTCTCAAGAACCCAAGCTTCAACTTTTAGCGGTTCAAGGCCTCCCTGAAAGGATGGCGGTTTCATCTTACTAAACTTCTGTGTCAAAGCTATTATGTCATCATTAACAGGTGGCTCTAGCTGTACTAGAGGAGGTGTGGGCTATTGGTTCTGTTGTTGTTCTAGTCTTTCAGTTAGTAGTTCTACCATTCTCTCAAACCTTGCCATTCTTGCCTCAGAGGATTCAGTTTCGTCAACATTTCTTGCGTTGTCCATCTCACTATAGGCAGTTATAACAATTATAAACATAGACAGTTGCATACTTAGACAGATTATCACATCAACAGTCATATTCATGTCTTCGCCACAAATTTATCATGCTTATGTAATGCCCTAATCACTTTTCTAGGACATCCTATAGCTCATTTGGACACGTGTGTGTGGTATAACTTGTGATTAAGTAGCGCTCTGATACCACTCTGTCACGACCCAAACCTGTCCCTATGGGTTTAGCACCGTAGCTGGCCAGTAATCCGCGATTACCGAAGGCCTGCTTAACAGTCAAACAATAATACAGAGTACAGGAGCATGGCAGAAGCCAATACAATAATTAAAAGATATCCAATGACCTGTGACAATCTGTATGCAAAAAAACTTTTCATATATATACATATTAATAACAGAGCAGTCTATACATACATGTACAATATATACAATCACTCAAGACAGGGACTTAATCCCTATTAGAACAGGACAGTATAGTAACATTCAGTCTATACAGATCATAAACAAAAAGGGAAAATCTAAAACTCCCCAAGCAGCCTCAGCTTGAACAGATCAGGAACCTCGAAGTGAGGCACAAAGGTTGGTTTGACAAAACTGGAGTTTACCCTGACGCTTTTAGCAACGGTCCGGTGCCTGTACACTTACATATATATATATATATGAGCAGTGAGCTAAAGCCCAGTGAATAACATAATGCGTAAAGAGGTTAAGAATGAATGTCCCTTCAATATTGAAAACAGTCAATTGATTCAGTGTATCAGTCATTCAGTCATAACAGTCATATGTGGTACATCCATTAGCAGAACAGTACAGTAAATAGTAGGTCTTGAAAGACCGAACAGTCAATGATGGCTATCAGTAATGGTTCCAAACATGGGAACCGACAGAGATCTCTGTAATAGTAGCAGTAACAGTAACAGTAGTTGCTAAGGATGCCACAATACAGTTCAGAATAGAGGACAACATTCATTCAGTTAATAGTAAACAGTTCAGAAAACAGTTCAGTTAATCATTCAGAAAATATTCATTTTCGAACATATCTTTACAACATTGTTACTCACAGAGTTCTGGGCTACAGATAAGCTAGTACGCGTCCTCGGATGCCAACCCTACACAGTTACAGAATGAACACACACTAAGCTACATAGTTGGGAAAAATAGTAACTTAATCCCTATCTTGACTCAGTGTGGTTCTACATCAATTTCCTCATTAAGATGTCTTAAGCTAGGCCTAAGAATGCCTAGAATGAAATGAGGATGCAAAGATGCACTTAGAAAACATTTTCAGAAAACAGAGTTCCCGCTCGAGCGTCACTTACCCCGCTCGAGCGGACATGCAAACAAAAGTCTCCGCTCGAGTGTAAGTTTTCCCTCTCAAGCAGACTGCAAAAGTACTGGATGTGTGAAAATCACGCTCGATTGGGCGCTCGATACCCGCTCGAGCGTGTGACACAAGTCCTCGCTCGAGCGTCCAATACCCCGCTCAAACGGACTGTAAAACAGTACAAAGTGCTGGAAGCACGATTTTTTCGCTCGAGCGCCAGTAATCCCGCTCGAGCGTAAGTCCAAATTCTGGAAATTCTAAATTCGAACCTCAAGCTCAAAAACAAGTTTTAATGTACTAAATTCGATCCTTTTGGGTTAATTTTCTGGAAAACGCTTCAAAAATCATAATATAACATGTTTCAAAGGTCAATTTGAGAAATCAAAACCCAAAGGTAGTTCAATTAAATCCAATTTCAAACCAAACTTTCAAGAACATGATAAACATGCACATGCATGAATTTAAACACTTCAAAGCTTCAAATGCTAGCTCAACTGAGCCAATTCTTTTCAAAACAAGATAAATTCATGGCCCTTAGCAAAAATATGAACATGCATGTAACAATTTTCCATGAAGACAACTTTAAACTCATCAATATAGGCATGCATGCATGAAATGAGCTTCAATTCAACATATAGAATCAATTCTAGACTTTAACTCACTAAATTTCCTTGATTCATGAGATACAACTTAAATACATAAACCAAGGGATAAAATCTCTACCATAGGCTTCCAATCACAAGTCTAGAGGCTCAATTTTGGCAAATTCTCTAACAATTCTTCCAATTTCCAAGCAATCAACAAGTTGAACTCAACTCTCTCACTCTCTCTCTCTTGGTCGGCTAGGAGCTCAAGAAGAATGAACAAGATGATGCACAAGATGGAATAAAACAAGCCTCAAAATGTTTGGTGTAGTGGCCCACTAATAGGGCAAAATTGTAAATAATACAACTTGTGGGATTTAGCTTATTTTAATCTAATTTTAATCATACCAAATCACATTTCAGATAAATACACCATAAAATCACATAAATTATGATTAACACATATCACTAACAAATTTCAGATTCGGCCACCGATAAGGCCTTCAATTTGTAGTTTAAAGCATAAACATGAACAGATAACTTAACAGTCAACAGATAGATACATTCAAACTAGCACAATCAATCAATCAGTTTAGTGATTTCAGTTAATTCAATCAATTATCATAATTAGTCTCAGTTTAACAGTGATCAGTGGTATATCAGTAAACAGTGGTGAGGGTTGTCACACCGACCCACAACCGCGCTTGGCACGGCCGGACGGACGGCGGCGGTGGCGCGTATGTGGTGGTTTGGGCTAAGGTTCACTTTGTTCATAACTCCTTCCTTCTACAAACTTGGGGTGCCCCTTGGGTCCCAACCCGAGTGTTGTAGTCTAGAGCTCATATACACAAAAAAGCTCTCCTAAAGTTTCAATGTGAGACAACTCATTTTAAGGAAACCCACATTTAAATCTTTAAATGTTCATTCCACAAACCTGAAAACGACGTCAAGTTCTCATTCACTCATAAATGGTTTTGACGAACCGTCTTCACCGTGTGACTTGCCACGCGGCAAGGAACATGTCACCTTTTCGGACCCACCCCAAAAGACGTTTGGGGCCCACTCAATTTTGGCCTCAAAGTCTGCCCAAAATAAGCCATAATAAACCAATTTTTCCAACAATCCCCCACATGAATGGAATTTGATGGAGAGAAAATGCAACAACATGATCTAAATTTAAGAGAGTACAAAAATTGGAAATGTTCTGCAAAGGATAGGTAGCTTTTGGCTTTGAACCTTCCCTTGTGAGACACTATCGGATTTACTAGCTAACCAGTGAACATGATGTCTTGAACTATTCAGCCGTTTGAGTAAATCAAGACAATAGAACTCACACAGTATATCCCCAGACACAATTTAGTTCTCACTATTGTGTTCATTTTAGCCCTGAACAACCTGGTCATTCATGAGTGCTCTAAAGACGTGTAGCCTTTCACAAATCTTATAGAACCGGCTTAGTTCACACTCACATAGGTGATTCTTATGAAGAGTATCCTGCCATACTCCACTAGGTTTACCTAGATATAAGAATCATGAAAATTTTACTTAACCTCAAATGCTGCAGTCATCACTATTTCATCATAGAAATGGGTAGGAGTATAACTCCCCAGTGATCCTTCTGAGTCATTCACAACTCGGTTGTCCCTTTGAACCTAGATCTTGGGATCTCCAGTCAACTAGGTTGGGTTGCCGTTGTGGTAACTCTTATGTAATAGGCTTAAGTCCCATTCCCC